CACTAGAGGATGCGGTAAGGGGAAGCCTGGTCTGAAGAACAGTTGGTATAAATTTCAAACTTCTTGGATCCTTCCGAAAATTTCATTGATTTAAGGTGACCATTTCGAAAGTGGGCAAGAATAGTTTGTTCCTGTCTATTAACCACCTTTGGCCAGGGAGTCTCCAGGTCGAGAACACTGATACCATGGGTGCTTTGGGAGGACATTCCAAGTGGTCTTGTTTTTGTGTTTTATTTTTGAGAAGATTTCCAAAAAGGTGAGACGGCACAGAGACCTTCGCAAGCACCAGCTTCAGCCAAACCTGGTGCAAAGTTGAGGGATATACGGACGTTAAGGTCGCATATCCCCCAACAACTACGAAATTTCCGTAGTTTCAGAAATTATTTCTCTTAATAGATGACTGCTAAGGTATTGGAATCATATTTTAATGTATCATAACTAAAAGAACTTTATCCACCACTAAATATGGACAATTTAAATGGATATATAAAAGGTAAAGTTCAAGAAATTATCGTATTCCTAGTTGTGACAAAAAATTTTATAAATTTTTTTATAAAAATCTTGTTTGTTTTAAAGATTTCTGTGTCAATTTTCAGCCACTTGAGAAAATATTTTGAAAGATCCTCAAATGTTGGTGGATATAACATTGGCGAATTTATCTTTAATGTTTTCAGAATGATATGGGTAGGATTAAAAGACATGTTAAGAGATAAAAACTTTTATAATTTTAGTGGTTTTTATTATTGTCAAAATTAAAGGGGGCAGTTTTTACCCCAACGAAACCTGAAAGGGTCAGATAGCGCATTTTTGGTGCTTCTCTAACTACTTAAAGCTCTTGTCAGAAAAAGTAAAGCAAATCTTTTATACTTAAACTCTCAGAAATAAAACTGTCACTTTTGGCTATTCAACAATCCTTGGGCTGTATTTCGTTAATTTCGATAACAATTTCGTCATGAAATAACGTGATTGAAACGAAACTCAACCTCTCAAATATTCTGACGAAAATTTTTTCTCAACTTGAAACTTCGTCAGTGTGTATTGTGGAAGATTGCGTGATGAAACTAGGATAAAGACTAGACGATCAAAAATAAAATGACGACATATACAGTAGTCAAAGAGTTGCTCTCTCACGAGGAAGATCCCGAGTTCCATTTCCGCTTTGGCCATGGGTGCAATTTATTTCTCTGTTCTACCTGTTCTTATTGTGTTGTTCCGACGTCATTAATTCACCCATATGGTGCCCATGGTGAAGTGATTATTAGAAAAGTTAAGTACATTAGGCATAAAAAGGGTATTTTTTTGAAGAAAAGAAATTAAAATGACGAAATATATCCCTAATTTCGACGAGATTCGTTTCCTCGAAAAAGTGATTATAGTTATTTCCTCACTTTGACGAAATTTTTGATCAAAGTACATGGGTGATTCTCACGAAATATGACAATGCACTGTCCCTTGCTCCAAGATCTAATACTATAATGCTAGAAGATTTTTTTTAAAATTAATAAATAGCATTGCTGTTGACTAAATTGACTTTGCACTAGCATTGACTGTTTTGTATAGTTAAAAAAATTTATTGAACTTCAAAATGTCATTTTCCTGGCATGTCCCAAACAATGTTTCCAATAATAACTAGCTTCAAAACTTCCCATAAATTTTTCAATATCAAATTTTTTTTATCGCAACCGATGTAAGCATTTCTATAATATACGCAGAGGGTATTATTTACAAGAACTTCGTTTAAAATAATTTTTTCTGTCAATAATTCGTTTGTCCCAAGAAAATCTGTCATTTTCCTGGCTACTTTTATTTAGTGGTTTATAACCAAAATAGATAGATCCAGCAATCAATATCTTAGGTTAATAGATTGATTAGATGCCAATGTGAACATGTCTTGTTGCATGAATAAAGAACCAATTTTCTGGTTCAAAATCTATTTCAAAAAATTTTTCAAGCCGAGTAGGTTTTTGTGTTGTCATTTTCCCGGCTTCCTGAAATCATTAATAGCATAAACTACATAAATTGATCTGAGTTTTTTTAAGAAATCATGTTGTTTTCTGCAGAATATAAATGTCTTAGGCCAAAATATTAAATTAAAGTTATATGCTACAAAATGGCGAATTTGTCATTATCCTGGCTGTTATTTTTCCTGGCTTATGAATGACAGAACATTTAAGTATTACCAGAATTTTTTTTAACTGCAAATACTGTACGGAGGGAAAGCAAATATTAACCTAATACCAAGTTTATTTATGATTGTAATATGCTTGAGTGTAATCAAAGTTATTTATTTATCTAATAATTGATTATTATACACAATTTTATTCTGCACGTAATTTTTTTTGATTTTTCCTACAGAGGATAAAAAGAATTAATTTAAGCAATTTATGGTCCATCTAACATAAAGGCCTAAGTTGAGTTACATACTATTAACTTAAAATGACTGTTTTTTAAACTTCTAAGCTAATATGTCATTTTTCTGGCGTTCGAGATTTGGTGAATTTCCATTTTTTTTTTCTCGAGCAAGTGTCAATAAACTACACTGCTGCCTGTAAGATATCAATAAGTGTAACTAAAGAAGTATTTTACGAATTGCCATGTTTAGAAAGAATCACCCATATAGGAGGAAACGGTTTCGTCAAAAGCGAAGAAAGTTTCTTGACATATAAGTATCCAATTTTTACTGTGTATGTAAAATGGTGCTTTCTTACAGAATTCAATATTTTCCCCAGATATTTTCCTTTTTTCCGAAATTTCGAGGGATTCTTTCGTTAAATAAAGGAAACGTATTTTCTTGCAAAAGTATTTCTTATACTAATTTTCATCTCATGGGTGCTTAAAAACTCCTTTGCAGACGGGGTTATATTATTTTGTTAATTTGAACTGCTCAGCTGTAATAGAAACTAGTTTTTCTAATAGTTTCTTCTGCATCACATTTCTTATTTATAAGTGACAACGACATTTTTAAATAAATAATCCTGAAGGGGTAAAATTTTACCTGACTGTGAACTTCATTCGCTTTAGAAATAAACAAGTGTTAAATAAAAGTCAACACGTCTCAAATGCTTAAAAAAGAAGGGCAAAATTTTTTGAAGCTCTTGAAACATGTCGACTTTTATTTTATGTTTGTCTATTTCAGTAGAGTTTTCAATCAGGTTGGGACATTTTTAATTATACACTTTTTTATTTATTGTTTTCATTATCCACCTCCTGGAATCAGTCTGTCCGCCTTTTTAAAGGAATAGAACTTTAAATATCCTGAGATTCGAAAATATGTAGCGAAAAATCAAGTAAATTGATGAGTATAAACTCATATTGCAACAGGGACAATATTTTTATTCTTCCCTGCTTTTCGTACTTTCAGCTCTTGGGAACTTGGAGAGTCTCTTAAAATTAGATCTGCCAAAAATGGGTTTCGTGGTAAACTTAAAATTTAAAAATTTTAGTACTAGCTTCACATTTTCTATATTTCGAGTAAAAAAAGTGTTACTTAGCTTAAAGCTGCTTTCGAACAAAATTAAAACAAATTAGAAATTTTTTAAAAATACTCTACACATATTGCTACTATCTGTGTACGTTTTTTTTTTTGCAAGACAAATACATATTTATTATTATATATTTTTTGTCGAGAGAAAGTGAATTATTGCTACTACGAAATTTTTACTGTCTCTACCATTTTTGAATGCCGTTACCATACAGTGCGGTAATTTTACCAGAATGTTTTTCCTTGGTGTATAAATTGAGTTCTTGGAAAATGTATTATTAATACATTTCAATTAAAACTTGCAATGATCTGGAACCCTATTCGCTTTTTAAAATTTTGCTTTCAACTTTTACTGAAAAAATTACAAAATAACTAAACTGAAATGCAAGGAAAGTATATGAATTAATAACTGAATAGTTAAAGAATTCAGTTTGTTGAAATAAGACAGAATTTATAAAAGGAATTTACCTAAAGTTTTCTATCAAGACATTAACTAGCAACTTACATAAGTATATTTCAAACTTATATATTATTAACTTACATACTTATGATATATACGCTATATACACAGTCCAGTCACATTAATGTGACCACTACCTACTNCGAAAAATCAAGTAAATTGATGAGTATAAACTCATATTGCAACAGGGACAATATTCTTATTCTTTCCTGCTTCTCGTACTTTCAGCCCTTGGGAACACGGGGAATTTTTTAAAATTAGATCTGTCAGAAATGGGTGGTGAACTTGAATTTAAAAATTTTATTACTAGTTTCACATTTTCTATATTTCTAATAAAAAAACGTTAATTAGCTTAAAGCTGCTTTCGAGCAAAATTGAAACAAATTAGAAGTTTTGTAAAAATACTCTACACATATTGCTACTATCTGTGTACGATTTTTTTATTTTTTGCAAGACAAATACTTATTTATTATTATATATTTTTTTGTCGACAGAAAGTGAATTATTGCTACTACGAAATTTTTACTGTCTTTACCATTTTTGAATGCCGTAACCATACAGTACGGTAATTTTACCAGAATGTTTTTCCTTGGTGCATAAATTGAGTTCTTGGAAAATGTATTATTAATACATTTCAATTTCAACTTGCAATGATCTGGAACCCTATTCGCTTTTTAAAATTTTGCTTTCAACTTTTACTGAAAAAATTACAAAATAACTAAACTGAAATGCAAGGAAAGTATATGAATTAATAACTGAATAGTTAAAGAATTCAGTTTGTTGAAATAAGACAGAATTTATAAAAGGAATTTACCTAAAGTTTTCTATCAAGACATTAACTAGCAACTTACATAAGTATATTTCAAACTTATATATTATTAACTTACATACTTATGATATATACGCTATATACACAGTCCAGTCACATTAATGTGACCACTACCTACTTTCGACGTCAACGTGAAATAACCAATCAAGGAGGCAGGTGGCAGCACATTACAGTGGATTGTATATATAGGATGTCCTAAGGCATCTGAAAGCATTTCAATCGTTGGCGTAATGCAGAAACGTAGCGTTTTATCCGACGTCCAAAAGGGCATGATTAGTGGCTTTCGGGCCAAGGGTGGAAGCATTTCGGAAACGGCTGACTTTGTGAACTGTTCGCGTGCCGCCGTGGTAAAAGTATACCGTGCATGGCAAAATGGCACTATGCAGAACAAGCGGCGTGGCACATGTGGTGCACCAGGGACCATAGATGACAGAGGCGAACGAAGGCTACGGAGATGCGTTCGGGCGAATAGACGTGCCACTGTTGAGCAACTGACCACCCAGATGAATCAAGGGGCTACCAAGAGTGTATCCTCAACCACTGTTCAGCGAATGTTGCTGCGCAAGGGCCTCCGCAGCAGACGTCTGGTTAATGCACCTATGCTGACTGCTGTTCATCGGCGACGAAGGCAGGAATATTGCACGCCAGTACCGCAACTGGACGCCCACAGAGTGGCAACAGGTGGCTTTTTCCGATGAATAACTTTTTATGCTCCATCGCACAAATGGACGTTGGCGTATACGGCGTAAAACGTCTGAAAGCAAACATCCTGCTACAATTGCCGGAAGGCTGCAGGCTGGAGGAGGGAGCATTATGGTTTGGGGAATGTTTTCCTGGCATTCACTGGGTGCACTCATCATTGTGGAAGGCACGATGGATCAGCACAAGTACGCATCTGTACTTGCGGACCATGTCCACCCCTACATGTGAATGACTTTTCCTCAGAATGATGGCATCTACCAGAGGACAATGCGAGGTGTCATACAGCTCGCTGTGTATGTGCGTGGTTCGAAGAGCACCAGGATGAATTTACCGTACTCCCCTAGCCAGCAAACACACCGGATTTAAACCCAATCGAGAATCTGTGGGACCACCTCGATCGGGTTGTTCGCGCCATGGATCCTCAACCGCGTAATCTAGCGCAGCTGGCCACGACACTGGAGACGGCATGGCTCAACATCCCAGTGAACACCTTCAGAAACCTAATTGACTCTCTTTCTGCACGTCTCGCAGCGGTTCGCTCTGCCAAAGGTGGTTATTCTGGATTTTTACAAGTGGTCACATTAATGTGACTGGACTGTGTATATGCAAGCACTGCATATATATATATATATATGCAATACGTATGCTATATATATGCAAGCAACTTTACATGCATTGGAATTTCTTTTCATTTCACTTTGAGCAGCAACTGCATGTTCTGTATCGTTACTTTTACTCAGCTCCAATTATTTGCTTCGCTGGGAATTGCATCATTTAGATATGTTATCAAAATAACTTCGCGTTCGAAAGCAATATAGTTTCATTGATAAAGTCATCACTGATCGCAATTTTCCTGAAACTGTCAGATGACAGGTATTTATAAGCTCGTTATAAATTTAGAAGAACTTCTTTTACAAACTGTCGAAAATTGTGCCAAAATATGCCAATCCTAATTTATTAAGATCCTTATTAAACAATTGTCTTATAAAGTTATAATTTATTACTCTATTAAAAGTTTGCGATAGTTTTAAACATAAATAAATGCATTTTAGCTCAAACGTGTATACTAAAAAAGTCTTAATAGATTTATTATATAGTCCACTCATGCTCTAATAGGCAATGTATACGCCGAACACTATTATTTTGTTTTATACATTTTATAAAAAAATTCCAGTTTTAGCCTTGAGGCATAAACTGCTTTTATCATTTTTAATATAGTTTGATAATTTATACATAGTAAAAAATAAAGCATACTTTAAAGCGCTAGAAAATTATTGATTTGAATATTTTTTTTTGGGGTAAGAAAAAACTTCTTTCACTCCAAAAATCATAAAAAGACTTACTGAAATATATTTGGAAAAAAAAATGAAACGAAATTGTTTTTTATTCTATTGCATACAGTAATTACAATCAAGTCTTCCGAATCACTAGTGTAAAAGGCAGGATGAAAATAGCAAAGCCAATTAAGCTACTTAGTGAAGCGTAGCTGCATTTTAATAATCACCTTTTGACTCCATTTTGTTCACCCGGTAGCTAGGTACTTTAATAGCTTCTCACTAGAGCTGCACAATGGGCTATCCCTGAGGATGATCCGAAGACATGCCATCGCTATTTTGATGCTCTGAAGAGTAGGCGGCTCCCATGCTTAAGTATCCCGACGACCTGCATGCGAAGTCGAGCACTTTACTGTAGAACAATTTGACGAGGATCGATATCGCGCACCCTTGGTCCCTACACAGGTTGATCAAAGTGGTCACCCACCCGCTTGCTGACCGCAACCAGTGATGAGTGACTTCGGTGTTCTACTGGGAACTTCGTCTTTATGATCAGTCCACTCTGGAACCTGTTCATTCGGACAATCAAACACGTTTTGGTGTTTTGTACATCAAAATTTTATTAATGATTTGCAAAATTTCCTGAGCGGTTTCGTTTTTCTTTAGATTTTTAGTTTGAAAACTTTTAAATGTATATAAGTTTTAATTCATTTTTAATAAGTTTTCTATACCTTTAAAGTGTGTTTAGACGTACAAAATATAAAGTATAAATATCTAAAGCAGTATTAAATGGAAGAAATTGAGTTAAAAAATCCCAAAACAAGGAATATCCAAAGTCAAAATAGTCTAAGCTGTGAAGTAGGAGCTAAGTCTTGTCATCAAAATATACACATATGATTTTTTTTCCTTCTTGGTTTATTTTTGATATCATTGTATCATACTTGGCATTTAAACTAATTACATTTTCTGAAGAATAAACGTTTAATTCAAAATAACTTTAAATATTTCTTTTTCAATTTGTATACGAGAAACATTTTATTGCCTTACATATTTTAAATGGCTTTTTAATTAATCAGAAGTCTTCTTTAGAAGAAAAAAATATTTTCCTTACATCTTTTCAGCACAATAAAAGATAAAATTTTAAGCAAAATTAAACAAGAAAGAATTAATTTACTAAAGCTATTACGATTCTAAATGTACTTATACTCAATTATAAAACGACACCTTAATAATCTTTTAAGGAAATTTAGGATAATTACACATAATTAGTTAACTTTAACCATAAATTAAGACACTAAGATCTTTGTCAGTGGTAGGAAAATAATTTGTTGCGATTTATTAAGGGTCTAATTAAATAATTTTATTTCCATTGACACCATTCTTTTCTTCGGATAACGATGTATGATTCATTTGAAATAGATGGAAAAAAATTATTTTTTGGTTGTAAGTTTCCAAAACATTTTGATACGATTTTGCCTTTAATTTATAACGATGGTATATCGGGTTTAGAAAAAGTCGAGTCTAAAGAAAAGAATTGGATATGAAAAGTGTCTGGTATAAGCCTTTTTTGACTAATGATGCCACCACGTTTCATTTTTTATGGGAGAAATGGTGCAATTATAGCCTCGATTAATTCCTTTTAAATATTGTATACTTTAGTTTATTACTCAGCAAAATAATTAGGCTGGATTTTACTTAACTAATTTGCGAGTGTTTTGTCAAGAAGTTCTTTTTGCACTACAAACATAAAAAAAAACATAAAAAATAAAATATTTTTTTATTTTGGTTTGTGTATAAATTTCAATTTTGTTTATGTCACATTCAATAATGTTTTCGTTTATAATTTTTAAATATTATCTTTTGACAGCGTGAAACAAAATAATTGTATAATTAGTTCGAAATCAAATTTACTTAAATTAATGCGGTTGTTTTATTATTAACTAGGAGGCTTCGCCCCCTGCTCGCTGGTGCTCGCCAACCCCCGGTTTCGTAGCTCATTTCGGATTGCTTCGCAATCCAATGCTCGCTTTGCTCGCTCATTGGATACTTTCTTAACGTCTAGCTTTTGTATACTTTTTTGAATACTGAAGTTCCGAAAACTTTTCNAATTTCTTAAGAACTTAACATATAAAATTTAAAAAAATAAACACAAATATTACATAACTTGACAATATAAAACATAAACATTTTAAAATGTAAAACAGAATATATAACATAATGAAAAATACAGTATTTCTTTATTTTCTTTTACGTATCGATAGGCAAGACAGCTATTTTAGAAACAGCTCTTTTAAATACCCCAGATTTTGTGCGAATTTTTACTACACGCACTTTATTATCCGAACCATGATAAACATAAATTATTCGGCCTAAAATCCAGGTATTTAAAGGCAAGAAATCTTCTTTTACAAGTACCATCTGTCCTATCTTTAAATCATTTTTTGTTACCATCCATTTTGATCTAGCTTGTAATGTATTTAAGTAATCCGACTTCCATTTTTCCCATATAAGTTGTACAACTTTTGTAGTTTTCTGCCACCGACTTAGACGATTATCATTGAGATCAGTTAAATTTGGTTCGACAATTGATGTTATAGGCCTCCCTATTAGGAAATGACCTGGTGTTAAAACATCAAAACTGTCATTATCACCGCTTAAGGGGCAAAGGGGGCGACTATTCAGAATTCCTTCGATTTGAATAACTATTGTTTCCATCTCTTCGTAAGTGAAATGAAATTTTCCAACTGCTCTTTTAAGATGATGTTTTACTGATTTTACACCCGCCTCCCAAAGACCACCAAAATGGGGTGATTTTGGTGGAATAAAATTCCATTCTATGCCTTCAGAGGTAAAATAATTAGCCAAAATCTGATCTGGAAAATTAATTAATCCATAAAACTTTTTTAATTGAGAATTAGCTCCAACAAAATTAGTGGCATTATCAGTATAGATTTTGGAGCATTTTCCGCGTCTACTCGTAAATCGTTTCAATGTGGCAATCATCGAATCGGAAGTCAAATCAGTCAGCTGTTCAAGATGGATGGCTTTTGTAGAAAAACAAATAAAAATACAAATATATACTTTGTTGAGAGTACCCTTACGTTGATGTTTATATTTAACAGCAAAAGGGCCGCACAGGTCTACACCTGTGACGGAAAATGGGGGTGACATGTTGACTCTTTCACTTGGTAAATTACCCATAATTTGAGTGGAAAGGAAGGGCTTAGATTTGAAACATGTTACACATTGATGTACAGTTTGACGTGCAAGATTACGACCTCCTAAAGGCCAAAATTTTAGCCTAACTGCACTTAACAAACCTTGAGGGCCAATATGAAGTAATTTCCTGTGTAAACTATCGAAGTAAATTTTACTTAATTTGGACTTTTTCGGTAAGATTATCTGATGCTTTTGATCAAAGGGTACTGAAGCATTATCGAGCCTTCCACCTACTCGTATTAAACCGTCCCCATCTACAAAGGGATTTAAGCTAGAAATATTGCGAGAAAAATTGTTCTTATTTACCAGTGTCTTCTGAGAATGCTTAATCAGGATACTTTCAGAATACTTTACCTCGTCAACTGTCAAGGGTCCCATTTTCTTATCCTTATGTTTACAATTATGAAGAAATCTGCAAATATAACATAAAATATGATTAATTTTATAATAATTATTTGAGAGTTCTAAAAGTTTATCAATCAGGGTCTGTGAATCATCAGTTAGCAAAACAGTCTCTTCCGTACTCTCGGTTGAGGAAACAGTTTTTGCTTCTCGGAGAATTGTTTCTTTTTCACCTTCTGCAAGGGATTCTATATCAGGAAATGATTGTTCTAAAGTTTCTTGAAAATCAGATTCCATCAAAAATTCAGCACCTGTCCACCACCTGGAACTATCAACCAAACATTCAGCACTAATTCCACGAGAGAGAATATCTGCAGGATTATCTGTACCTGCACAATGGTGCCAGGAGTTTGGATCTGTCAAAGTGGCTATTTCTTTAACTCGATTAGCAACGAATTGTTTCCAACGAGTTGTCTTTCCCTTTATCCAGTAGAGCGCAATTTTAGAGTCAGTCCAATGATATGCAATTGAAGACCTTTTCAGATTCACAATCTTTTTCACTTTGGATGTCAAGCGAGCTGCAACTAGAGCTCCCAGCAATTCCAGTCTAGGCAGAGTCACACTATTCAAAGGAGCTACTCGGCTTTTAGAAGTCAAAAGTCTAACAATCGGTCCATTTGGTGTGTAAACTTTCAAATATACTGTAGCACCGTATGCGTTCTTACTGGCGTCACAAAAACTATGAATCTCGACGATATCCTCTTTGGATATAGAATTAAGAACCAGTCTAGGTATCTTAAGATTTTCCAAAAAAGGTATCTCTTCACACCATTTTATCCACTCTTTCTCTATTTTCGGTGGCAAGGATTCATCCCAAGGAATTTTTTCACTCCACAGTTCTTGGATCAGACATTTCATTCGTATGGTGAAGCATGAAATTAACCCTAAAGGGTCAAATATCTTCCCTATAGCCTGGAGTATCGAACGTTTTGTACTTTTGCTTGAGGAGACGAATTTTAGGAGACTTCTGGTATCTACAGAAAAATAATCTTCACTGGTGTTCCATAAAAGTCCCAACACTTTAGTCTGATTGGAGCCCAGACTAACACTAGCGTTTGCAGGATGAGTATCTAGTCCCTCATTCTTCCACTGCTCCATCAAATCAGCATCATTAGTTATCCACTTCCTTAGAGTCATTCCAGCAGCTTCTATTATTTTATTTGCATCTCTAGATATTTCTAATGCTTCATCAAAATCATTGCTACCGGAAATAAAATCATCCACATAAAGATTTCTATCTAGAAGTTGAACGATAACAGGAAGATCATTTTCATATTTTTTGATATGGTGCCTGATAGTAGCAGCGAGTAGAAATGGACTTGAGTTAACTCCAAAGTTCACTCTATTAAAATGGAAGATAATTAATTTGGGATCTTTAGAAACACTTGGTTCATCATTGCTCCAAAAGAATCTTACTGCGTCTTTGTGTACCTCAGCAAGACCTATTTGAAGGAAAGCCTGCTTCACATCAGAACAGAAAGCTGTTCGGTTGAGTCTAAATTCAATAAGTACATCCAAAAGATTGGGGTTTAAATTGGGCCCTGGCCACAAACAGTCATTGAGAGAGAGTTCATTGACCTCGTGCGCCGCAGCGTCAAACACAATTCTTAACGATGTTGTTAAACTTTCTTTTTTAACGGCCATATGGGGTAAATAAAATATAGGTCTTTCACATTCATCCTGTATACTATCAGGTTTAACTATTTCTATAATGCCTTGACTTGTATAATCCTGTATAATTTCACGGTATCTATCATAGAGATCCGGGTCATGCGTAAATCTTTTCCATAAGCTTCGGAAACGTTGTTTCGCTAAAGAATAATTATCAGCAAGTTCATTATAGTCTTTTCTAAATGGAAGTTGCACTATGTAACGACCGTCTTTGAATTCAACAGTTTCATTAAATATTTTCATGGCCTGATCATTCTCTTGTAAAATTGGATCGTCTTTAATCCCAAGCCCCTCCAAATCAAAAAACAGTTTTAGTGTATCTTGTAACGAATCATTTTTAGTTAGAAAACAATATCTTTCCTGAGTAATTTCGCTTTCTTTAAGTTTACCGCAAGCTATCCACCCCAATAACGACTCTTTAAAAAACAGATCATCATTTATTTTATACGTATTTTGTTTCAAAACCTTGAAAAAAATATCAGAACTTATTAACGCGTGCACTTCAGTAGCTTCATAAAATGACTCATCGGCTAATTTCAAAAAATGAGGAATCTCTATTTGCGAAATGTCTAAAGTAGTGGGCGGTGTGAGCCCCGTAATATTATCAACCACATAAAATTCAATTAATTCATTAAAACTAAAATCTTCATTCGAAATGGATGTAGTTAATTTCCAATTAATGTTTTGGATCGATCCGTTTAATCCTGAAATCGGTGTTTTTATTTTCTCTTTTTTAATCCCTAATAAATCGCTCATATTTTTCTTTAATACGCATATATTAGAAGCTGAGTCAAGGATCGCTTTTATTTTTATTCTCCTACCATCTGCACATGTAATAAATATTTCAGCAGTTGAGAGCAAAACGTATTTTTTGTTTTGTTTATTAGTGGCTACGCTTAAAACCGAAGCATTGGGATTCGGATTATTAGTAGAAGAAGAAGGAAGTGGCACGTGATCAACTTCACTTTGAGATCGCAAATGATTCATATTCATAGAATTCGAAGAAGAAATATTTGATTCAGTTTCTTTCGAATTTAATTTTGTACAAATTAGCTTTGAATGTTTTAAAGAGCAAGGACACCGATATGGGGAAATACATTGGGCTTTTGTATGATTTTTTTTCAGACATATTTCGCACAATTTATTAGCACGAATTATCTTTATTCTTTCATCAATGTCAAGATTTAAAAATAATGTGCAGCGAAAAATGGGGTGCATACCTTGTTTACAAAGAAAGCAATTCTTATTTTTATTTTTGTTATCGTTTTCAGACACTAAAAGAGTTTTAGGTTTAGAGGGAAACATTGGGTGCTTTTTTATTTTTGTTTCGTATGAACAGTTTCTATCTACGGATAAAAGTACAGCTTCCCGTTGCTCTAAAAAGGTTATGAATTCATTAAAAGAGGGAATTTCTTTTGTTTTTTGTAACAATTCAAAGTTTTTACGAGATTCTTTATCGAGTTTTTTCAACATTATAGTTTGTAAAAATATATCAAATAGAGGATCTTGATTATATTTCAACACCTTTAGACTTAAATTTTTATTTAAGCAATCAATCATGGCACGAATTTCTACAGCATTTTCTTTTTCTATTTTCTTAAAATTCAAAATGGATTGAATGTGAATATCTACGACTAATCTTTTATTGTCATACCTTGAAATTAATGCTTCATATAAAGAAGTAAATGTATCGAAGGTAGAAGCAAATTCTTTCACTTCATTAGCAAGACAAGAATTTAAATAATATAGTTTCAGTGTTTCACTAAGTTGACTGTTTGAAGAAATTAAATCATCAAATTGATTTTTAAAACTAGAAAAATGTTCATATTTTCCAGTAAATATAGGAAGATTAACTGGAGGAATTTTTAATACAGTTTTTAAGTTATCATTTAGTTTATGATTATTCTCTGTCTTGTTATTAGAATCAGAGTTCAATAGTTTATTAGAATTTATTAATTTTAAAATTCCTACCTCTAAATTATCCAACCGTTCATCACACTGATTCAAATCAGTATCGATGGTGTCAATATCACCAGGTTGAATGTCCAAGTTGTAGTATTCTTGTCGCAATGACTCACTTCTATTTTTTAAGACTTCTACACTTCTAAGTTTGACATTTAACTCCGTGATATCACGCAGGTCATCAATTTGCAGAAAGTTTTCTAGGCGGGTAATTTTGCCTTCTATTATTCTCCTATTGGCGGGTAATCTTACCTTCTGAAGTTCGTGATCTATTTATGATGTCCATAGGCTTAGCCATTGTTCTGATTCAAACTCCGAAGTTCGACGGAGCCAGATGAAGAGAAAAATTTATAAGACGGACCACTCTTTAAAAAAAGAAATGATTTATTTATATTTATTTTAATTATCGCTAAATGCGATTTCAGAAGTTTTATTTTTAATTAGATGGAGCTACATGAGAGCCGTCTGTCATTGTGGAAGTTACAAAATCTTCTGCCGGTTGGAGCGCTGACGCGCATGCGCGCCAACAATTCGCATATTTAAACACAAGCTAAGTGGCTCTAGGTCCTAATCTCAATTAAGCTAATTAATTACACTGGTGGACAAAATTAAGAGATGGAAGACATTTCCCCAAATATCTCAAAAAATACTGAATATAAATAAATGAAATTTGGTATGGATATAGCTTATTCCATGATAATAAAGTATGCAAAACAAAAATGAAAGTGCCATTCACTGGCAAGACCTATTGCCAATAAATCCAATGTAATCTGAACTTAAAGACAAAAGATGACAATAAAAGTGAGGCTTGTACAGTGCGTGTTGCCTCTAGTATGGTGTATGGTCACCTCTGACAGACAGACAGCATGCACAACGAGTATACCTGCTGTTAATAAGGGAGTTAAGGAGGACTTGTGGAAGACCCTCCCATTCTTCCACCAGAGCAATTTTTAACTCCAGAATGGTTCTGGGGGGAGGTTGGCGCATCGCAATAGCTCTCCCAAGAGCATCCCAAACGTGTTCAATAGGATTCAGGTTAGGGGATTTGGCTGGCCAATCCATTCGTTGAATATCCTCACTTTCCAGATACTCATCAATCATGAGAGCCCTATGTGGTCACGCATTGTCCGTCCATAAAAATGAACTCAGAGCCAACAGCGCTCCTGAAAAGACGCACATAGGGCTCTAAGACCTCCTGTCTGTACCTCTGGGCATTCACGGAACCATTGTCAAACACATGGAGTTGTGTGCGGATATCTTGCATGTGCGAATGAATGCGCGAAAATGTTTTCCATCTCTTAATTTTGTCCACCAGTGTAGTTCTGGTCTAGTTTATTGTTACGAAATTAAACACAACGTACTTTCTCTGAATAAACGTATCTTTTTTTCGATAGATGCAGATTCTCGACCTACAAATTATGGAAGGTAGTTGCAATCTGGAAAATATTAGTACCAACAATTTAGGCTTGAGAGCCGTCTAAAGTTTAGACCTAATGATAATTTCCTTTTTTTTACATATATCGTTCTATCTCGAGACCTTTTTTACGAATCGAAAAAATGTTTGCACACAATTATAAAATTCGTTTATCTAAAACAATTTTTATTAAAAACTAATAAAAAACAATTATTCACTAGTTTTTATTAATTTGTATTACAACATTTGAAAAAGTCTTGAAATTCAAGTTTAAACAAATTTTTATATCACTCAATTTTTATATGAAACTCGGAAATTTTAAAAGATAAAATTTTAGATGGATAATAAAATAGATCTAATAGATAATAAAATAAATCTAACAGTTCAAATCGTATTTTTAAAATTTGATTTCTCGAGAAATATTTTAACTATTTGCCCATGCTATTTGTGAGAATAGGTAATACTTTAATCTAAGTAATCATCTTGATTTTATTTTAATAACTTTTGCAAAAATGTATGCTATCCGAAGTGAAATAATTATGGTCTGCAAATAGTCAAACCAATGACATATATAGTTGATTTAAGACTAATTGTTGCCTTCAAGAAACATGATATTTTCGTTTCTCTCCATTCTTCATAACAAAAGTGCTTGTTAGCTTTATTCAGATAGTCAACAAAAATAATTTTGTCTTAGTACGTATTTTAAGTTGAGTATAGAGTTTTGTTCTATTTTATAACTGGCGGTTATGCAGCGGACCCAATTTTGAGTTTATGACTATTAGCATTCACCTCCGTAGCCACCTCTTTTCAGAGCCTTGTTATGTATGTAGTCTTAATTTTAACACAATTTGGAAGACAATGGAACTCCTGAATTAAGTATTAGGAGAAACTAGCCTTCATGGAGAACGTTTTCATGGAACTAAACAGTATTTAAGTTACATGGAGAGGAAAACGGTTAACGGAAAACCGTTTACGGAAAACGGTTTGCGTCAGCACCGTGGCCGTTGCGAGCTAGAAGCAGAATTCGTTTCGACTCGCCAACCTGGGTTACCTCGATGGGAAGCAAGCGCTCTATCCCCGTGAGCCACCTAAGCTATCCCTATGGATTGGAGCAAATAGGCAAATTGGAGGAAAAAAATAGTTAGGTAAGCGTTATTGCTATCGCATGGTAAAAAAATTCTGGATCAAGTTAAAAAGTTATTCCGTAAAAAGTACCGGTAGTTAGAGCGCCAGTACTTTTTACAGTAGATAACCGATTATCCGGAACGATCGGGATCATCGCTATTCCGGATAACTGATTTTTCCGGTCTTCTGAATCGCTACAAAAAGCCGTTTTTTTTATTGTTAAACCCAACTAAAAAAAAATTGGAAATAATCTTAAAAAGAAGAAAAAACGATGAAGTAATACACTAATGATTATTTCCAAAATGATGGTAAGGTAAAAATCTTTCAAAAAAGAAAGAAAAATCCTAAAATCTTATGAGGAAAAAAAAATTTTTTTTTTAAAAAATGGCGGGAAAACTTATTGAATTTCGTTCCGGTTTTTTGGTTTTCCGGTTTTCTGATTTCCGGATAACGGGTTCTGTACTGTAGTATAAAATCCATTTTTAAGTTAAATTTTACGGAACAAAAATCTGACATAAGGTCATTTTTGCAATAGTATTGACCGTAAACTCACTGAATCATGATTAAAAAAATATTGCTTTAAAAATTACGTTATAAAATATTGCGGTAAAAATGAATTTTACCCATAATGCACTCAGGATGCTAATACTTATTACCGAAATTTTATCTGGAATTTTTTATGGTTCGCGCAACAGCAAAATGCCAAAAAAAATTTACTCTTCTTAAAGAGAAACTATGCTGACTACATAGACCAGTGTTTCCCAAAGTGTGGTACGCGTACCCCCAGGGGTATGGGAACAGTTTAGAGGGGGTACGCGTTCTTATGCGAAATATCCGGCAACAAACAAAAATTTCAAATTTTTTTATTTAAAAACAGAGTCAGCCATGAAAATTTACGATTACGCATTTTTCTTCTTTTTTGCAGAGTTGACAGTTAATAATTAGTGGTGTCGACAGTCAGTTGTGATTTTAAACTTTTGTGCAATTTTTTTTTATTGTAAAGGTTTGTAAGGAGAGTAAATTCTACTTACTTTGATTATTTTAATAAAATAAAATTTTTATCCTTAACATGGAATTTTTTACCAAAATTTAAGAATTTTTTTAATGAAAACTTAACATATGAAAGTAAAGATATTTTTAAAAAAATACATTCCTTTTTTTATTAGTGGTACACAACGTTATGAAAAATTTAGAAAGTGTACGTAAAAGTTATAAGTTTGGGAAACACTGACATAGACATTATGATATTTGTGTATATCAACCAGAAAGCGAGCCCACTAGCATTAAAATAAAAACTTCGCAATCAATAAATTAAACAACTAATGATCTGGGTGACATTAGTTTACACAATACACATAGAAAACTTTTCATGAAAAGAAATAAAGGGAATAGAAATTGTGAGCTGGAATTACATAACACAAACATCGTTAAATCAACAAAGAAGAAATATTCTCCTAAAAACTAGTGAAAGATCAATAATGTTGTACTTCTGGTTAATAGCGTCATTTATCCATTATTGGCAACAAAATTAGGCTTTTTTTTTCTAAATGCTGTTATTGATCAGTATATTTCTGTTCAACAAGATTCGGGTTTGCGAATATTGTCTGCTACTTTTTTATTCTACCCGGAGAAAAAATTCTGGTAAAATTAATGTACTCTAATGACATTTTTGGTTAAAAACTAATTCTGGTTATTAAAATAAAAATATAAGGCATTTGAACGATTCATTTCATAATTTTTTCCGTTCATATGGTAACGGTTTATCAAAAATTATGATTTTTTAAATTATAGTTCTTATTACGATATATTTAGTAAAAATACGAAACTGAAAAGTGAATTTGAATGAATGGCTTTTATTCCATAACTAAAATAACTTGATAAAAATACCAAATTTTATTACAGATTATGAAAGATCAATAGTTAATTTTACCGAAATCATTACCAGAGCGCTTCGGTAAAAATTAACGAGCTTTTTGGTGTTAGTATAGAATCAAAAACACCGTCATTTTCACAATATACTGGTAGTTTTGACCATATTTATTTCGTAATTTCAACAATATTTTTCTTCTAAAAAATTAAAAAATGCTTATTATAAGTGTTTAACTAACAATTAACTACTATAATATCCAATTCAATCTTGTAAATGTTCAATTTAATCTCATATATTTTCAATTAAACAGTAAAAAATATTTAACAACAACAAAAACCGATTTAGATCTATTTATTTTTCAACAGCTTTTAAAGTTAAGCTGATAAGTTAATTAATAAAGGATATAACTTTTATGAATAAAAGATGAGAGTAACAACAGTTGCATTTCCAAAAGGAGTTTATAACGGTTTAATAAACTAAATGTTTTATGAAAGCTCCTCTAAGAATAATTAAATATTTAATTAGAAGGATTAATTAGTTTCCAAATTGCTTGTTAAGTTTATTTATAGAAAAGTCTTTTTCAGATTACAATCGCTATGTTTATGTATGTTAGATTTTAATTAATATTGTGATCATAAAACTCCAGATTGTTTTAATCCATAATACATTAAATGAAAATTATGAAAGCAAATTAATTCTAAATATGCAATGAAACATTGTATATATATGAAAAATTAATCATAGAAATAAACTTCCTCTCAAGCATTTAAAATATGTTTGACAAAATATTTCTGGTACTGTATAGTTTTCTTCATCTTTTTAATTTATTTTTGTTAGAATGGGCAAAGGTATGACTGCATTCTTCGATCATTATTACTTCGATCATTAT